CTTATGTCTGACTTGCTCCTCGGCCTGATCAGTCCTTCGGCTAAATACCGTTAAGCCCTCATATGAGTCTGGCATTCCCTTCCCGATCCTCAGCTCGTATCTGTAATGCTTACGAGTCCTCAATATGAGTCTGGCGTGCCCTCCCTAGCCCTCAACTCCTATCTGGCATACTCCAGGGTTTGTTGGCTACAACACATAGCAATACAACCTCAACCCAACTCATACAATAGGTCGACATATAACAGATAATATCACATACAGATAAACAGATAGTAACGCAGGCAGTCCTACAGATCTACCAAAGTAACATATCAAAACTTATCATGCATAACTGTACCATACTTAGCATATCAACAATATCAGGTTATCAAACCAATGGGCCAGCCTTGGTGCCTTCGACTCGAAAATATAGTGAGGAAGACTCACCTCACAATGCCAACTGTGTTGAAACCTTCGACTGCTAACCCACGGAAAATCCCAAACTATCACAGAAACAAACATCCAATTAACAATTAGAATACCCTTCTTGATCAAGCACCCAAACATAGGGGAAATTTCCATTTTACCCTTTCCCAAATTGGGCCTAGGCCCAAGTCCAAATCTTGATCCAAAAGGCCCAAATAACTTCAAGGCCCACATTTGGTCCAATTTTCCAAATTGGGCCCACCTTCTTATTGGGCCTTATCCAATGGTCCGATCCTCTAAATAGCCTAAAACACACTTATCCAGATAGTCTATTAGGGCCCAAGTATCAAGTCCCAACAGATGGCCTAATACCCGAAGCCTAAAGTCCGAAACCCCAAACAAAAGGCGTACACGGGGCATACCCCTTCGGTACACTAGGTGTACTTAGCCTTTCATTTACCACCATCATGGTGGTTGACTCAATACATGGGTCGTACATCAACTTACACGAGGTGTAACCTCGCAGGTCTTAAAATCCTTATAAGTGCTTAATAGATTAAGCATATAAGCTCAAACTTCAGATCCATTACTCAAAAGTACTATAGAACCATAAAGTCGCAAACTTTAAGACTTTGGTCATCCAAAATGGGATTAATATTGGTCTTAATCGATTAAGACCTCTTCCAAAGAACAAGGGACCAAACTAGCTCAAGCGACCTCATTTTTATGCCTTAGGGGCCATCCTAGGGTTTTAAAGGACAGCCCAACACAACCAAAACAAGGCTTGTACAATATTAGGACTCTTGGGACACGAATAATACTAAAAAGCAACCAAAACAGTATCTAAACAATCTAAGCATAAAGGTAGAATCTTTTTACCTTCTGGAGCTTCTTTATGAAGTGATGATCCAAGATCTACTAGCTTGCTTCACTCTCCAATCACCTTGATGCAACTTCTTCTTCTTCAACCACACATAAAACAAACTCTTAGCTTACATACACACACACACACACACTAGAGAAGCTAGGGTTTGCCAAAAATGATTCTAGAACTTGGAGACTAAAAATATGGGGTAAAGGGTCCATAATGATGCTTAAATACACCACAAACCCTAAAAGTTAGGGTTTTCACCCAGACACATGTACACTTAGCGTACATATGTGTACACTCTATATACTAGGGTGCACTCTAGTACGCCTAGCATACCCATAGGTATGCCCAACGTACAACTAAAGCTCCCAAGAATTACCAATTTTCCATTAGGGCTTCTTAGGGCTAATTCTAACCAATTTCAAGGACCAAAATGACATATTTAATTACTAAAGGAAGGATTTGAAAATACCTGAAAACCCAGGATGTTACAAGCAGTGTTCAAACAACCTTTGGTTAAATATGATTTTTAGATTAATGAAAAGACCCTGGAATTTTGCTTCTTTCGCAAAGGTTATCGGAACATACCCTCTGAGACTCCCGTTGTTCCAAAGTCACATTAGAAGTCCAAAGCCCGTGCCAAAGTCCCTAAACCTAACTTAGAGCCTAAAATCCAAAACACATTGATTTTGCAGGTAGTCTATGCTTTGGAACAAGATACAATATGTTATATTGATAGTGCTTGTTCGGACATGATGTTCTCCATATGCCTATATGACAGATTTCAGGTCAATCTGAAGATGTTTCATCTTATGGAAGTCAAAAAAATATTCTTATACCTCAAAGGTACAAAGAGCCTCAAAATTTGGTATCCGGAAAATGAAAATTTCCTTCTTCAAGCATACTCTGATTCAAACTATGGACGTCATAAAATGGATAGAAAAAGCACCTCAGTAGGTTGTGTATTTTTGGGTGGAAGATTGGTTAGTTGGTCATCTAAGAAACAGAACTACATTGCTCTCCCAACAGCCAAAGCATAATAAATTTATGCTGCTAGTTTCACTTTGCAAGTTCTTTGGATGAAATCTAAACTTTTTGGCTATGTTTATCGATTTCAATAAATTCCAATCTGTTGTGATTCTCAAAGTGTCATTGCGATTTCTCACAATCCAATTCAGTACTCCATAACGAAGCACATCGATATTCAGTAGCATTTCATCAAAGATCAAGTTTTAAAAGGAAACATCAGACTTATTTTTGTTCCATCTGATGATGAAATTGTTGATGTCTTTACTAAGGCATTAGACAAAACCAAATTCAATGGGTTTCTAAACAAAATGTGTATGATGATGACTGATCCTCAATTCTTCCAAGAGGTTTATACTCTCTAATGGAAACATCATAAAGTGAAATAGTTCCAAAGCCAAAATCTTTTCATCTCGTAATCATTTCGTCTTGGAATAAGTAGGATCATTTTACGTGTCTTTTTGTCTAACCTCTTCTTCTAGTTTTAAGTTGTACAACTTTCCTCATCTCTTAAAGATTATGACCAATATAGTTATATTGGTGTGTTTGTATTGATCTCTCCTTGAAATGTATCTTAAATGAAGTGTTATGAAGTTCACCTCGGAATTCAAGTCAAAAATGGTAATGCGCATTCACCACTTACCACTGTCCGATCTCTGGTCCTTCATCTCTCAGAATCTCAAATATATTTAAAGTTGTCTTCTAACATCTTCGTACATTTTGCCTCTGATATTCAGTCTTAGATTGTGCCATCTTGAACTCTACGTCATCTACTAATGATTTGTTCATATTTTTCTTCAAAGTATCTTATGACATCTCATCTCGGAATTTCCTTATTCTGAGACCCTTTGTTGTACAAAGGAGCTAAAAGGTTTTCATTTAAATTTTATTTTTTAAAATTTGAAATGTTTTTCTTAATTGAATTAATGGTATTTTTTCTTAATGATTATCCATAACTCCTCAATAAACTTGTATTTGCACACGGCTCGATAAAGTAGACATCAACTCAAACTGAAACGACAGTTTTCTGTTTTTTGCATGTATGGACATCCCATATTTCGCTCTTGCAGTTTATAAGCATTCTAATTTAGGAAAAACATTTAATGGACCCATTTTTCCATCGGGTGTCATCATTATTCTTTCAAACCCAACCTAAAAGTCCAACCTATAAAAGGTTCTCAAACTCTAACTGTTCATTTTATGCCTTTATACATATTCTTCTCCAATATTCTCTCTGCAACTGTTCTTCAAGCTCTCATACATGCAACAATGGATTCCACTAAAAAAATCCTTGAAACCTTAAAGCCTGCCATAAAGAAGAAATCATCAAATGGGTTCAACCTCATCTTCATCCACTGAACTGGTCTTGTGTGAAACAACCCAACTGTTTTCACTCGATCCTATGGATTATGACAAATCCATTCGAGTGATAATCGAGTTCATCTCACATCAACCCATTGCCATTCCAAAGACAAAACCCCCAAATCCTCAAATCCCTTTATGCATCCTTCACACAGCCTGCTATAGAATCAAAATTCAATGGGGTGTTCTGGAGACAAAAATCACTGGGATGGAATTGTTCCTATTTCCAAGAAAACTTTCCTCAAAGCAATTGGGATTCCTGAAAACCCAATGGTTTTCAAGTGCAAGAACCCTCATCTGAATAGTTTCAGAAGTTCCTGAATGAAATTGGGTACAATGAAGAGTTCAAGGCAAAGAAATTCAAGAAATCGGCGGTTCCTAGACTTTAGACCATGTTGATGCACCCTATTCTTCGAGGTTTATCAAGAAAACATGAAAGAACATACATGATGAGAAAGGATTGATTGTATGTCGTCTACAACATCTATTCAGGAAGGAACAATGCAGTCGATTTGACTGAGGTCCTATGGAAAGATTTTCGGAAGTTTTTCATCAAGAAAAACCTAAACGAGATTTCGAGTCTAAGGTTATGGGCTCTGACTCTACAACAACTCTATAGAGAAAGAAGAGAGATAATTCCCATCAACACTGAACCAAAATAGGCCTTTCTCTCATTCAAAGGTATTAAGACATATAGTCTTCCGAACAAGTCCACTTTCGGACCTATTCATAGGTTGCCACAACATATGTTGGCAGTTCTTCCATCCGATTCACAACTTCTCAAACATCATTTAGAGACCTCGACTGTGTTTGTCCCAACACAGTCTACCCAAATCTTGAATGAACCAATGCCCTTATATGTGAGAAAGCCAACCTTAACTGGTGGGAAAAAAAAGAAAAATATGGCTAAAAGAAAAACATATCCTTCCAAACTTTCTGTCAAAAAGAGATCCAAAGTCAATGGTTCCTCTCAAAAGGAATCAAAAAATGACATTTCATCTGACTCTGGACGTCCAAAAACCCCAATTGGCCATTCTTTTGAAGTGTCCTTCGAAGCTTCAATATCACAGGCACACGCTCACAGGGAGTCTCCGCATAATCCACCCCCATCTTCCCAACAAGATGGTTCAGGTGTTGACCAATGTTCCTTGCAGCCCTCTGGAATAAACCCAAGTGTCACTTTGCACATTCATATTCTTTCTACACAAGCATGATCTGGGGACCCTGCCTTAGATCCTTAGCTCTCAAAAAGAGGAGTTTTCCCTCCAACTTCTAGAGCCCCAACTGGTCTGATACCTGGTTTAGGTAAAGGATGAAAAGGTTTTGCTAACGCTAAATGGTATGAATTTTTTGATAGGTCTCATACGAGACATCCAGAGGTGACTCGAGCTCAAGTTGAATCGACTCTCATCTCCATGCAAAAACAGGCCATTCAGAGCAACTTTCCGTATATTGCTCCCACAGACGAAGAAACATAACAAGAGTTTACCTCTTTGGATCTAGACCATACCACTACCACAGGAGAAACCCATGCCACCACAATCATTCTAGATGATTCTCCCAAGTCTCCACGTGTTGATTCCTTCCAACCGCCCTCGGATGAAGAACACTCAATGAAGATCATGTTCGACGATGATAGCACTTCATTTGGCACTCTTCCACTCTTCTCCATATTCAAGATGATGTAAAAGCCTTATTCTTCAAAGCATGTATATGCCTTCGGACGGTCGTCATCTTCCTCGAAATGTATTGACGAGGAAATCAAGATTGATGACAACTTACAAGCAACTCAAGGATGTGAAAAAGAAACAAATCTTCATCAAGGCAATCAAACAGAAAATAACTCCTCTCCTTCTAAACCACAAGACAATAATGGTGGTGATGATGATAAGTCTGAGAATTCCACCTTGGACACTGGATCATCATATGAAAACATTGTCGATACATTTGCCATCCTGGAACTCCAAGACAATGTAGGAACATCTGTCTCCAAGGTCAACTCACTTGACAAATCCGTGGCGAAACTAGACTCCAAGCTTCATAAAAAAAGTCTCTAGTATCGACTCAAAGCTCGATGTCATCCTCAAATCTCTTTTCGGTATTAAACAAATTGGGCCATCAAAAGTTGAAAGAGCGGATCAACTTGATCAGCTCATATCCCTATTTTTCAAGCTTACCTTGAAACAAGTAGAGCAAATGCACAACGACATCCTGGTTCACCACATCTCTATCACCACCACCATGTTAAAAATCCATGACAACATGATTAGCACAACAAATAAGTTGATTAAGAAAACTCATGTGCATCATGAGAAACATATCCAGAGGTTAAATAAAGAAATAGGGAAGAAGGATGAACCAAACCTCATCATGCAACATCTCCTCATCAATTTGCTCTGAGCTTCTTGGAACATCCTAGACATTCACAAGTCACAACAATAAGTTTAACAAAATGCTCTCTAGCTTAGCTTCTTTATTTGATCATTTGAAATCCCAAGCCCCCACTGCTGAAGCATACGATCCTCTCTCTAAGCAAATCAATATGAGATTTCAGAGATTATGAAAAATATTATCCGAAGTCCAAGCCAATGCTATACTTGCCTCGGATACTGGGCCCTCCGAAGCAAGAGGGGGAGAAGGAACTAGTCAAAAGGGTTGAACCTTTAAACGAAAACCTGCCTAGGATTTCACTCTCCGAGATGAATCTGATGATGATGATGTCATATAGGTTGAATCCATGGACAATCCAACAAAAGAAGAAGAAGAAGAAAAAGAAAAAAAGGAAGAAGAAGAAGAAGAAGAAGAAGAAGAAGAAGAAGAAGAAGATGATGATGATGATGATGATGATGATGATGATGATGATGATGATGACAACTTAATCATGGATGTTGTTATAGAACTTCAAGCTCCTCAAATATATCGGGTAAAGGATCTATCGGAGGAAGATAGAAGGATATGGCCCGCTGTCACTTGGCCATGATCCTTGGCAAGCATACTTCAAAGAAGCCGTGAAATGGCTAAAATCCAGACAAACCTCACTGTTGATGCATTTAAAGATACTCAGTCTGTGTTGTCTCTTATCCCTTCTCCGAGAATCATCCCAATTCATGAAGGTTCTCTTGCTCGAAAATCCGAAAATATTCCAGAAGAGCCCCTAATCACTCCTTCTCCAAAGTTCACTATCTCTGAAACCATTCAACAAGTCATTTCTAACTTGACCAAACCGTATCAAGACAAAGGGAAGAAGTTGCCTCGGAACCAACCAACCCTCAAAGGACCTTCAGAAAGTCTGAAGGATGGTCTCAAGCTCAAATTGATCAAGCACTTAAAGAAAGCATCTGGATCCAAGTGTTGAAAGATAATCCAAATATAATGTTGGACATATCCCCAATCTTTCGAGAAGGGATAATTCATGATCAATATATTATACCCTTCATGTACTTCAATTTGCCCATGCAAGACTCCGACCAGATTGATATCCCAATCTCTCCTTTCAGAAAGTACTACATCAAGTTCGCTCCACTTTATCCCAATGATGATCCTCAGACCATCATCAGAATGGAGCGAGAGAGGTTGAAGACATTCTAATCTATTAACGTATGTCCTCAAAAATAAGTATGGTCTTGGAAGAGAATAACTAAGATTGTTGGGTTTGGAAACAAGGTTCAAAGCAAGTTCGACCTAAATTGCATGTTGTACAAATATCACACTTCTCGAAATAAAGAATCCACCTGTAGCACTCCAATCCAGGTAATTACCCTTTATTCCCTTAAAAAATGAATTTTTGTTACAATATTGGTCCCTTTCGTACTTTGGGCGTACTTATTGGTACGCTTAGCATACCAAGATGGAATGATCGCGAATGTGCACCACATACGTGGACCGTACAATTCGGTATGTGGCAGATGGACAAAACCCAAATATTCGGGAATGAGAATGATATAAACGTCCTAAAGTTATTTGGACCAATCCCTAATCAGCCTCCATAGCCTCCTTTCGACCCTTGACCTCAAATTTCCATGCGAGTGTGATTCTTGAGCTTAGAAAGTGTGTTGGTGGCCATTTTAGAGAGCACTCTAGAAGGAGAGGGTGGTGAGCAAGCTTTGGGTGTCATTGAGCTTCCAGATCCTACATGAAGTTCATCTTAAGGAACTTATGGGGGTATAAACTCTTGACCTTGTCATCTCTTTTGGTTATTTGAGCTAGGGTTTTTTATGGAGTCCATTTTTGGCTTTTGGACCTTCTCTTTTGATTTGAGCAACTCTAAATATTAGGATTGCTAGATCCAATCTCTTTAAGCATGTTTGATGCATAAAGGTTCCATACTGGAGGTTGTTTTGATCCTATGCATATGTTAGAGGTCTTAATCAGAAGCATGATGTAAGGGTATTTTGGTTGTAATGAGTCGAAGTCTTATATGTACTCTTCGTATGATATGATATCTATTTTACTAAGGCACATTATTCGAAGCTTACGTGTCTAGTCCTTAGTATATTTTTTGTATGCTTTTATTCTCCTATAAATAGGAGTCTTTACTAGAGTTAGATAAGGTTTTTACAGTCTTGCCTATTTTGTACTTTATAAACTTAAAAGCGTAATATTGAGCTGAATCAAGATCGTATTTACATCAGTGTTCAATCTTACATACATTACTGATTTTAAACTCAAATTAATATTCAAACTCGATTCTTAGATACTACATTTGGTATCAGAGCAGGAATCATATCTCTGATCTGATTTTCATCCTTTCAAAAGATTTTAAATCGATTTTTTTTTGGTTTAAAAGTTCCGCACTTTTTTGAAAAGTGAAAAGTTCATTGGATCTAAGTATGTGATTCGATTCTGCACTTGAATTGTTGAATCGAGTGTTCTCCTAGTAATTTCAATTTGAATCAACTAGTCTGCTGTTACAAATCTCAAATTTTCTTCAAAATTCTCAAAGTTTTCTTCCGTACAACAATGGCGTTATTCAATCTTAATTTCATGAATTCATTCTCTCATTTGTTAGGGTCATCTACAAAAATTCCAATGTTAATCCCTGAGTATTATGATCAGTGGGCTGATCGTATGGAGGATTATCTCAATTTTTTAAATGAAGAATTATGGACTTGTATTTCTGGCAATGTCAACCCTCCATCGAATATTCAACCACTTGGAGCATCTTCTGCAAGTTCTGGAGTAGAGAATCAAACTGAACGTATGAAAAATCTAGAGAAGAGATGCATGAGAGAACTGCGAGGAGCTTTGCCACCAGTGGTATACAACTATGTGAGGAGTTGTAAAACTGCAAAGGAGATCTGGAACAATATTAAGGAGAAATTTCAAGGAAGCGAGAAGACAAGAGTTAATTCAGTGAAAAAATGTTTGGTTGAAATGAAAGACTTCAAACAGAAAGAAAGTGAAACTATTAAGGCATATTACGATCGTCTGAATGAATTGATCTATCGATGCAACCGATATGGAATTACCAGATCAGTCATGGAGTTCAATCTTATCTTCGTTATGGGTCTGAGAAAGGAGTGGCGAAATGTAAGCATGATGGTCAAAAATCAACAGAGCTTTGATACATCAACTTTGACTGACGTGTACACTCAGTTAAACTCACACGAAAATTAAGTGAACGAAATTGCTGAAGAAACGAAGGAGAGTTTGGGAGGCCCACTGGCTTTGGTTTCAAAAATGACTGAGAAAGAAATTCATGAGAAAAGTGATTCTGATGATGAAGCAATAGCATTTTATTCAAACAATCGTGTCAAAAATTTCTTCAAAAAGCCATTCAATTTGAAGATCAAGTCAACTGAGATAAGAGGAAGTTTTGTCAACAGAACTGCAAGTGATGAGAAGAAGAAGGACGAGAAGAAGGATGCGAAGCTTGTTGAGGGAAAGATTGAGAAGAGGTTGAAGGGAGATGCTGGAGTAGATTGTCACTACTGTAATGGGGCCAATCACCTAGCCAATGATTGCATGTTGAGGAAGAAAGATGAAAAGAAGAATAAGGTAATAGATGAAGCTTATTATTGTTGGATTAATGTCTAAGTCCATAACTATAATTGGTAAGACTTGACCCGACCCGGCATGGTCCATTTGGGTTGCATGGCATCATGCACTTGGATAGACTATAATGAGAGAAATAAGACACTTACGGTTATTAATATATTATAAGTTCTAGTATATTAATAATAAGAATAATGAGATTATTTAATTAGTATTGATCAAGAATTAATCTAGAATTAATTAAGTGATCAAAAGAAGACTAATTAAATATATGGGTTGATTGTGTAAATCATTCATTCTTATATATGTGGGCTTGTGATCCAAGATTCCTTATGTTGGACTAAGTCCATGGGGTGACCCATGGATACTCCATGGAGGTTAAAATCCATGGAGCATAAGGAATGGGTAAAGTCATGAGTTACATGGTGTAACCCTAATAGCCACCATATAAAAGAAACCCATGGCTCAAGAAATCGTTACACTAACACTATGTGTATGTATGAGGGCTACACGATTTCATGAAGTGTTCTAATTTCTCTCTAAGTTATTCCAAGTGCTTATGGTGTTGTGTGAACCATTTGAGGTGTCACACTTGGGGCACTAGGCACTCAAGCTTCATGAAGACAAGCACCATTAAGAGGTATGTATTCTATCTTGTTATATTGATAATATTGTATGCTAGATTAGGATAATACCTTGGATGTTCATATTTGCATGTATAATAGAGAAAACATAGATCCAAGGTATTTAGGGTTGCATGTACACTTAGGAGTGTTAGAATGCTCATAACCCAACAGTGGTATCAGAGCCTAGGCTTGTTTTCTTGTTATACCTGCAATAGAAGCTGAAAAATCGAGTTTTGGTGCTGTCAGCCCAGCTGACTCGCCGAGTCCAAGGCAAAATGCATCCAACTCGCCGAGTTGAGTTCATGCACTCGACAAGTTGGACCCCAGACAGCATATCTTCGAGGTTTTTGGCTAGAAATGGACTAGGAACATTACCCTAAGTTGTTTTTGAACTTATAAACTTGTTTTTGATGTGGTAATGTTCATGCTAATCCATTTTCAAAGATAATTGTCAATAGATTCATGTTTTGTATTAGTTTAAAGGTTAAACTAATTACATGAAAAAGTTTGATTTGAATTATCTTGTTCTTATGAGTTGCTTAGATTAATAGAAAAGTTGAGTGAAAAAGTGTTTTCAATCCAAATTAATCTAAGAGTTGAGTATAAAATGTGTTTGTGTAACTTATCCTTAAGTTACATGAAGAGTCACATTAAAGACTCATAAAACTCATAAAGTTGGCAATGGTTACAAAAAAGATGAAGAGTCTTGTCCTTAAGTTATGGAGGTTCAAGAGTCACTTCATTAATAAATAAATAAATAATGGACCCATATACAGAATTTCCTTATGTTGAGCCATTCCAACATGAAATTCATATATATCCTTGACTAAATGATTAAAACCTCACGATCTAAGCTTATAGATTTGAGATGAAGTATAATTTCCTCTCCCTTAATTATAGCAAAACAACTTTTTCCCAACTGAAACCTTTTGTTTTCTATAATTAACATTGCTAGCTTGCAATACTTATCGTAATTATCATGCTCCCACTAACATGATGATTATTAGCATAACACTTATGCTCCCACTAGCTTTGACATGTACTCAGAAAGCTCGACTTCTAGAAATCATTACTTTATTGACTTTCTGACCAAAGTTCAGATTTCTGATACTAGATTGTTTTGATAAGACTTTATCAAAAAACATACACCTTCTCTCTTAGATAGCTCATGGGTGTGTCAAAACAATTTTAAGAACTATGAAAAGTTGATGCCGTAATCATAGTCTTGATCGTTTTGACCTTTGTCATTTCTCACAAGTCCAAGTTAGTGTGCCGGTAAACCACACACGATCCACTAACGACTTTGAGATCACAATTGCTATCTAGCTAAAATCTACTTAGTGGAAGTGTTTCCTCACCA